AGAGCGTCTAGATTGGCATGGATGCTTTTCGGCAAAAGCACTTTTTGTGGAAAAACATCCGTGCCAATGTAGACGCGGTTTCGTGCAAGAAAGCCCCGATCGCCATTTTCGCGATAGGGGCTTTTTTGCGCAAAACAATACCACGTTGTCTACACTAGCCCTCTTGCGCAAAAGCATTTGCGCAAGAGGGCTTTTGCCCGAATGGGAGCAGCAGAGCATTTCTGCAAGAACACTGACAATCTTACATGAGATCATGTGTTCTTGCAGAAATTCAAGTGGCCAGTGTAGACGCACCCATATTAGTTTTGGCTGTAATATATTACATTTCCGAGTCTAGGAGGACCCTATGCACTCGTACAACTACCAGGATCCAAAACTCCAGCCTTAGCACAGCAAGGTCTGCACACAGCCTCTCCTTGTGAGATCAGCTGCACAGCACGCTGCTTTGTAAACTTTTGTCCAGTTCTTTCTTGCCTTTGATGTGAGGGCTGCCCTTCTCTGCTTCTCTCCCCTCCTCTCCTAAGCTCAGCATACATGTTTTCCACAGACAGGAAATGCATTCTGGCTCTGTTTAGATTTGTTGTTTCATTGACAAACAGTACAGTGGACAGCCGTGTGCCTTTCTTCTATCAAGGCTGCTAATTTTAGACTGGGCTTTTTTTTCTTCCTGTGCTGGAGTCTGTTTTAAATACAGTCAGAGAGAGACTGAAGGGCGCCAGGATATCCCGACACAGGAGAAGGAAATGCCTGCTATTACCTGTTATGCAAGCTGAACCTTGAAATCCCCAGTGCTGGGAGAGAGAAAGGGAGGAAAGCCAGAGTCGGAATGATTAACAAAACACTAATGAGAACAGTGAAAGAAAAACCAAATGAACTCCTGGACTCAACTGTCTATACTCAGAGGTGTGAAGAGAGGGTATCTGGCAGCGAGAAAAAGTGTTACAAAGAAAGACCATCAACTACTGGAATCAGAAGGCTCCTATTTGCAGATGAGTCTCATAGGAAGATGGAAAGGGGAACAAGATCAGTCATTAAATATACCGCTCCATTAGAGGAACCTTCATTGTTAGCTGGATGTTTTTCTCAGTCTTGCAATGAGTTATTTTGACCCATTCAAAGTCGTATGTGTAACATAATTCTCTCCAGGCCATACAGTGGCCATATTCTGCCATGAACACATTTAGGTAAAGAGGGAGAGAAACTTCCATGACCCCATCCAGACATCAGCTTCCTACAAGGAGCTCACTCCCTTTCTCAAGGGTGATGAGCGGTGGCTAGGCGGGAAGGAAGTCACCCCGACTAGCCATGTTAACCTGGAAGGAGGCGTCAGGAGTGTACCTATGGCCCCTGATGTGTTCCTTTTACTGTCAAGAAACTCAAGTTGGCACAGAGATTTCATATGCAAAGTCTCCTGGATTAAGCACAACATTCCGCATTGTGACCAACGTGCCACTTCTTCTTTTTCTAAACCAATGTCCACATTCATAGTATGAGTGGGACCAAAAGGCCAGTTGATTGGAATCTACACTCTGGGGTGTTTTGTTTGTTTTCAGATGGGAGCAGGGATCTTTCTTCCTCAGAAACCGCAGGCAATAATTTATAGCCAATCCTACAATCCAGACTGAGAACCTCCCCCAGAAAGTTTCAGTGTAAACTAGCAAGTAGATAAAGAAGGGCAGACTTATAAGAAGAGAATAGTGGACATGAACCATGTATTTATAAGAACATTCTAGACAAGACATAGTCAAATGCAGACCATGGAGTTTCACACTGTGAAGCTCTGCCCTCTTCATTTTTAATATAGCATTTAACTTGGTGAGCATGATATTTCCATTTAAAACTTTCATTTCAGAGTTTTAAAATGAGCATGGCACACGTTAAACGGATTAAAAGCTCTTGATAGGACTCAAAATGTAATTGTAAATGGAGAATCTTCATTGAATAGGTGTATTTCTAGTGGGATCCTGCAGAGATCAGTTCTTGGCCCTTATGCTATTTAACCTTCGTATTAATGACCTGGAAGAAAATGTAAAATCATCACTGAAAAATTTTGCAGATTACAGCTAAGCTAAGCACACAATGTGTGTTTGAATACAGCTAAATGTAATCTTGACATCTAGAAACAAAGAATGTAGGTAGGCCATACCTATACAATGGAGGCTCTGCCTTGGGATGCAGTGACTCTGAAAAAGATGTGGGAATTGAGGTGGATAAACAGCTGAACATGAGCTCCCAGTGCAATACCCTGGCCAAAATAGCCAATAGGATCCTTGGATGCATAAACAGGGGAATCTTAAAAAGCAACTTATTTTACCTCTGCATTTGGCCCGGGTGCTGGGGTACTGCTGCAATAATCTGTCTAGTTCTGTGGCCCACAATACAAGAAGAATATGGATAAACTGAAGAAGATTCAGTACAAGTCAGAGATGGATTAAAAGATCTTGCCCAATCTTTCCTCCTGCAGTTCACCAGCAAGGGCTCCAAGGACCACTGGTGATTGCTGGCAGATTATGACCTTTATTCATGTTTTTGAACAGAAGTCTTCAATCTGTCTCTGAACACGTGTTGGATGTTTTCACCCTGAAAACCATCCTAGCAACACGGCATGTGTATTATGCTATGGTTTCCTATAATTACTGTAGTCTGAAGAAAAGTCACTGTTCTTACAGAAATCTGTGAGTTTCAAATGTTGTCCAACTCCATATGTCCCTAATCACTGCTTCTTAAATGACTACACAGTCGTCTCTGATGGATATACACCTTGTCAGTGCTTATGATGGATCATAGCCCTGTTTCTTTTTTATTTCTGCCACCTGCATGAGCATTTGACAGTCATGCGAAAGGATGACCTTCTGACAAAAAATAAAGCCTAGGAAGCAGGGAGGAAGGAAAGAAGAGAGGAAGTGGTGTTGCTCCAGTGGCTGCACTAGGATTCACACAGCTCCAGAACTACACAGCCTCATACCTTCCAGTTCACAGGGGAAAAAGTTGTTTGCTTTGAAAAAGTTATGTGGTGAAAAGAGAATTTTGTGTCACACTCACATTTCTTCCTAGAAGTTTTTTTTCCAAGAGATTGTTACAGATGCAACTTGATGAAGGCAAGGGTGGATTACAAAAATGCAGAGTGTAACAACCCTAATTGGAATGATGGATGGCAAAGGGGAATCTATAGAAGATTAACCTACTTGGAACACAGGCACTACCATATTTGATCAAACCCAAGATCTAGCTAGCCAAGTATCCTCTCTCTCATAGTGGCTAAAATAAAAACCCCACATAGGAACATATGTGATAATCAGCTCCCCACATTAGGTTTAATCCTGATCTCTAAGGGTATGCCTACAATACACTGTAAACCCAGATATCTGGGGCTCAGGCTTATGGAGTCATGTTTCCATGCATCCACACTGCATTTTAAACCTGAGTTTACAATTGCTGGATCCAGAACTCAGAACCATGCTAAAGTGTCCATACTACACAACACAGACTTTCTGACTCATGCCTGTGGCTTGAACTGCATCCACACCATAGAGTGACAGGGTTTGGACCCCAGTCACTACAGGACTTACAGGCCCAGGTCTTAAAGGCCTATTGATCTAATTCAGAAAGCTATGTACATTGACAGTAGGACAAGGTTCGGCTTAACTCTGAGTCAAAGCCTGAGTTTAGAATGCAGTATACACATACTCCAAATAGTAATAGAGA